TAGCGTGACCTCCTGAGTTTCTGGTGCCCAGAGAAGCTTACCCATTGGACTCTGCGATGAGCAGGATTTCACTCAGTAATTGTGCAGAGAGCTTGTGATATGGCTAATGCTATTTTTTTGCTCAGAAATACATCCCAGCTTGACTTAACGACTTCAGATGGACTTCAAACCCATTCCATCCCTGTTCCAAGAGTAAATGACCTGCGACAGGTACAACCTGCGCCCTCTATTTACAACCCTGCTTGGAAGACTCCTCTTGACCGCAGTGGGATTTGGTTCCAGCCTTGAAGGAGCTACCAATTGCTTTTGCTGCCAGAGGAATGGTATCATCTCTGGAATCAAGCCCAGGGACCCTTTGCCATCTCACAGCAACACTGGTTAGAAATGGCAGCACAAGGAACAGGTACCATGCTATGTCATTGTGACGGAGGGAACCCAGGTGGGCACAGCGTAGTGAACTGACTTTAAACACTGTTTAGCTGAGCAGTCTTGCTCTTGCAAAGAACTGCATCTCCTCGCTGTTCTCCATCCTAGCCCCTCTCTTGTTTTTAAGCCCCAGTCTCTGCAATTTATCAGCTCTGCAAGGTGAGGCCCATGCTTTTTCTTTGAAGAGTTTTGCATGCTGGCTTGGGATTTTCAAGGCTGACTAGGAGATTTAGGAACAACTCCTATGCATTTCAAGAGGTAACATGGGGCTCCCCCAACATGTTTTGAATAGTTTCATAGTTTCATAGTTAGTAGGGTTGGAAGGGACCTGAGCAGATCATCAAGTCTGACCCCTGCCATGGCAGGACAGAGTACTGGGGTCAAACGACCCCAGCAAGGTGATTGTCTAGCCTTGTCTTAAAGACCCCCAGGGTAGGAGCCAGCACCACTTCTCTTGGAATTTGGTTCCAGATCCTAGTCGCCCTGACAGTGAAGTTGTGCCTCCTGTTGTCTAGTCTGAAGCTACCCTCTGCCAGCGATAATCGCTGTCGCCCAGGTGGTCGAGCACCCGCACCCCCCTCACCAGGTCGTCTCCCGTGGCCAGCACCAGGTCCAACAAGGCGTCTCCCCTGGTGGGGCTGTGCACCTCCTGGGTTAGATGGAGGTCCTGCATTTGGGCTAGGAACCTACGTGAGCGGTCAGACCTGGCTGACTGCTCTTCCCAGCAGATGTCTGGAAAGTTCAGGTCACCCATGACGACCACGTCCTTTGACCTCACTACCTCTGTGAGCCGACTTAAGAATTCCTGGTCTAGCTCTTCCCCTTGGTGGGGTGGTCTGTAGTAGACCCCCACCGTTAATTCTCTTTCCTCTTGACTGCCTTGTATCCTAACCCAGAGCACTTCTGTGTGCCCCTCCTCTGGTCTGTGCTACCTGGTGAGGATGTGTATTCCTCTTTAATGTAGAGCGCCACACCCCCGCCTTTCCTCCCTGTCCTGTACAGCCTATAGCCCTTGATATTCACCGCCCAGTCGTGCGCTGGGTCCCACCACGTTTCAGTGAGCCCCACTATGTCTGGGTTGGTGTCGGCTAGCAGGAGGGTAAGTTCCTCCTGCATGTTACCCATACTACGAGCATTTGTGTAGAGGCATTTGAGGCCTCTTGAGGATGTGTGCACTAATAGGAAAAGGAGTGGTTTTGAATAGCTCAGATAATAAGAATCAGTGGGCATGTCTACACGTGTGCATTTACTGTGCAGTAACTGAAATTACTGCACAGTAAATATGGCGACTTATGCTGACTTGAGCATAAATTTGATACCTTCATCATGCAGGTATCAAATTTATGCCTGATTAGTTAATGCGCAGTAATGCACGTGTAAATGCCTTACTGCCTGGTAACACTGTGTGTGACAACTGACTTGGGACTAAAGTCAGTCCACACACACAGTGCTACTGGGACTAACTTTAATCCCAAGTCAGGCCACACACAGGGCTAATTCACTTTGATGCCTGCACATGTAGACACTGGTCTATTCCTGCTTACTGCAAAGTAAATTTAAGCCGGCATAAATGCATGTGTAGACACGCCCAGTAAGAACAAGGAGAGGCGGTGCAGATCACAAAGAGCTAGGCTGCTGGTTTTATGGCCCATATGAAAGCCTGCTACTTTATAGCCACCCACTCATGGACTCTGTATCCTAGCTGAGTGGGAAGTCTAAGTGGTACCTAAGGTTTAATACTGCACCACCTTGAGCCTTGTGTCATGCAGACAGAGTGTGCAATGCTGGTGAAGCCATGCTGTTAGCACAGGTGTGACTGATGATACCCGAGGTCCAGAGTCGGGTCCCTGGAATTTTCCTGGGATGTTTCCCATCTGAATCCGCCCAGCCCTTTTTCACGTAAGACAGCAGATAACACTTTGGCAGGAGCCCTGAAGAAGCCGTTCACAAAACCTTTGGAAAAGGGAAGTGGAGAAGCAAATGGGTCACTTTCTAGAGTCATGCAGCAAAGGGCTGAGCCATGCATCAAACCCAAAGTCCTCAGGTCCGACCTGAATTGACTGAGTTCATTCATTGATCACAAGGCCCCAAAAACAGGGGGGTGGAGTGGACAGCATCTGCAGCTGCAAGCCAGTCCATGCAATTCTGGCTCATTGTGAATGGCTTGGAATAGTGTCCTTTTTGAAGGCCTGTATTAGATGAGAGTCCAGCTCAGGTAGGAGACTAGGGTAGGAGCAACCAGATCCACATGGGTAAAACTAGACTCTGCACAACCGGCCTCCCATGCACTGTTGTAGCTCAGCCCAGCCCAAACCTGCTTTGAAAGGTCTGAGGATTACATTCCTTTTCTTTTTTTCCCAATGCCTGGGATCTGGACAGGAGGCTCAAAAAACCGGGTGTGAGAAGAACCTCGTGGTCCAGTGAGACCTTCCCTCTGGCTTCGCTTCAGAGAAGCATCCACATTTCAGCCCCAGACCTAAGCCTACATCTCTGGCATTTCTCCATCTTAAATTAGGGGCTGGTTCACAGACTCATTCATTTATGTATTGTGGACAGCTGAGCAGTGTTTGCTAGCAGAGTAGCTAGCTCTACAGCTTAGGGCAAAAATCAACTGAGTCTCACCCTTGGAAGGAAGGAAATGATGGCTTCTCTTTAGGTTTAGGTTAAAAACAGAGGAGCCAGCAGAGATTATTCTTGCATTAATTGCTCTCCCTGCACAAGCTTCCAGGGCTAAGTGTGGATGTGAGCGCAGGAGCCAAAGCAGATACTGGAGTCTGCTCCATCGAAATGAGCTGCCCCCTCCGCTTTGATTGTTTAAATCAGTGTTATTTACTGGCTCCCAGGAAAGCCTGGGATAATGAAGTAGTCTGATTCCTCCAGCTGTTCCTCCATTACCCACCCACCATGCAGAGGCCTCCATATTCCCACCTGCCACAGTGAATGTGCAGCACAGTTAATGGATTATGGCTGGGTAAACAGTAACCCTACTCACAACTGAATGTTTGAACTCCCTCAGTGCTGCACTGCGCTTGCTCCTTCCTGGGTAGGGGCGAAATTTGTCTGTACAGTTAATCAAGGCTGGAAGCTGGCTTTGCAGCCTCGGTGCTGCAGCAGACCAGGGGACCCCAGGAGCAGAGCTGAGCAGCTGGTGGGGAGTGGGGAGGGCAAGGGTTCCCTGGGGTGTCTGCTACTCTTCTGCTGTGTCACTTGCACCCACCCCAGAGGCTCCCCTACTAGGGCCAATTAGCAACAGGGCAGCTCCAAGCACAGCCTGGCTCAGTCCTCTGCAAGGGGATGCAGGTCCAGGCTGGAGGAGGGTGGCCCTAGCAATGTAGCCAAGGTGCAGGGGGGTGGCGGGGCAGCAAGTCTCCCCTTGTGGCACCTGTGGTCCAGCCTCACCCAAGCACAGCCCCTAAGGGTGCTGCAGCAGTGCCAAGGTGCCCCTGGGTGCTAAGGAGATGGGGTGACCCTGGTCCAGTCTGTACCCAGAGCCCAGCTGTCCCCCTCCGATGGGCATGCTGGGCCACCCTGCTTGGAATCAGCTCAGAGCAGGGAAGCATCCTGTGTGCTATTGCAGTGTCCCCAGTGGCACTTGCCTTGAACACTTTATCTGCCTACGCTGCAGACTTTAGTGTCTTTTCCCCCACAGTTCCCCCTTAGGAGAGTGCTTCTACCCCCATGTTACAGGTGGGAAAACTGAAGCTCAGAGGGGCTTGGAGCTCTGTGTTCACCTGGTGCGTTGTTCAAGGTTTGGTGCGTGAATGACTAGAAAATATCTGCAGCACCCCGGGAATAAATACACGACAGGGTGAAATGGCATAGAAACCATGTGGGAAGCTGCCAAAACCTTTACTCCATTCTCCTTGGCCATTAAACTCCTTTTATTTCTTTACTCTATATACAGCACGTACCCATGGCATTCTCTTTATTTACTGGTAGGCTTCTTGTTGTACCTAAATATCCTATTGCTTTTAGGATATCCAGTACAGACACACACACAGACACACACACTCGCCCCACATTAAACCTCCATTATGCCACGTATTACAAAGAAATATCCAGACAGGATAAGACAGGTAAAGGAACCGTCTCCAAAGAGATGGCTCATCAGCATTAATACATCAGTTATATTCCCCAGAGGTGAGATGGGGGCAGGCTGGACACTGCACATTTGAAGGGCCTGAGTGTGATGGCTGCACCCAGCCTGCTTCCTAGTGAGTTTAAGATCACATTGTGAATGTCCTTAAGTCTAACACCACTGGCTATTTTTGGGAGTCTGGGCTTGGATTGTGAGAGATGATCTAGAAGAGTGACCAGTCGGCATGTGCTTTTATAGAAGGAAACATAAATTAGAGGTGGGGAAAATGAATTAGGTCACCTACGTCAGGGATGGTGACCCAGGGTGGCAGACATGTCACATATTAGCTCCATACCTTCCCCAAGTGCCACTTCAGTTCCCTTCCCCTGCCTGACCTGTTGCTCTGCTTTTAACTCCTGCTCTGTGCTCCCCGCCCAATGTCCTACTCTGCTTCCTGCACCGAGCCCCATGCCTCATCTCCTGCTCTGCTTTCTGCCTCCTTCCCTATCTGCTGCTATGTTGCTTGTCCCCTCCCTGCTCTGCTGTGTGCCACACACAGAGTCTGCTTGTGATGCAGATTGGCAACCCCTGACCTAGGTTATGAACAATATTGGGACTGAGCAGTTAGCACGGCTGCAGAGGGAGCTCACACTGCACTGCTCATTTAATGTTTAATCCACAACAGGAATAGATAAGGGATGATGGTTGGGCAGAGCAGCAATAAACTGGCCTAATTTAGGAAGCACCTGAAAAAAATCCAGGACATTTCCTGTTAGCTGTCTGTCCCCTGAGGACAGGACTGGGCTTTATGATATAATTAATGAACTATTCAGCCTGGCTTTGAACAGCTGCTGCACCTGATGGACCAAGGGGGGCTGTGGGGGCTGGGTCTCTTAGCTCTGGAAGTCTTCAGCTCAGTCCCTCGACTGTGGTGGGGAAAGAAAAGAAATGCCTCCTGACCCTGCTAGTCAAAGTTCAAGCAGGAACAAAGTCTGAAGCTTGGCATCAGTTTAGAAGGACGGCATCTGCAACAGCGCCTTTTCTCAGACGCGGTAAGGAGAAGTGGGCTCATACATGCCTCCTCTCCTTGGGCAGAGAGCCTCCATTCCTGAGTGCGTGGTGGTCCATTAGGAGGGGGCAGCCACAACCCGTGACCTCCCAGTGGGCCTGGGTGGATTAATGTGACTAACCCACGGCACTCAGAGCCTTCCCTCTTCTTTGCCTTGTCTTGACTACTTCCATCCTCCTCTGAACCTTTGGTTCTCCCTTGTGTTGCCTCCAGCCTACGTTTTGAAGACCCTTTCCACCCCGACAGGGAAAAAAGGCCTGAGCCTCTCAGTCAGCGAACAAGGGAGCAGCTGGGGAAATGGAGGGGAAAGAAATGGGTGATATTTCCTGCCTGTTCCTTATTCCTACCAGGTCTCATTGCCTTCCAGACAGCCCCTCTCCCACATAGTTGGACATTGGACATCCCCTTTCTCAATCTCCATCCTGCTTACTTGTTTCAGTACGTCCTGCTGTGGTGGACACAGCAGAAGGGGTCTCCAACCCTTTGTCTTTGCCCTGGTCGGCCCCGAGGGCTGTGTTACCTATCTGAAAGCCTGTGCCTGAACGCTATTTATGCTCACAGAATTAAATTAAAGCAATGTTTTTTTGCAAAGATCTAGTTGGTCTAATAAAAGATATCACCTCTACCATGAGTTCTGATTCATTTATGCCCACAGCTGTTCAGTATCTTCCCTTCCTTCCGGGTCTCTGGTGTTTCTCCAGCACAGCCTCAAACCTCTCCTAATTGGAGACCACTCCTCGCACCAGCCCCTTGATGTGCTGTTTCTGCAGCCCCAATCCATGCAGCATAAAAGAGCTAAATACTACCTTCCCCTTCAGGACACCTATAGCCCTACACTTTAGATGTCTGAATAGTGCCAAGGCCTTCTGCACCCACCGCACTTCACAGCCCCGATGTGTCAGGGACTGGGAGACCTCAGGCAGTGAAGTCAGTAAGCATGAGGCTCTAGAGACCCTTTTCTGCTTCCCTGAAATGCACCCTAGGAATAAACACAGTGACTTTTAGCAGTGAAATCCAAGAGGCTGAGCTCCCTGCCATGATCCCAGCCATTCCCGGGAAGGCTCAGCTCTGCTGAGCAGCTGCCCTGCTAGGCTCACTTGGATGCAGTCCTGATTTCTCAGCCTGAGCCTGGCCAGGGTTTAATAACCGATGTGAAATCTGCTACCAAGGACCTGTTTAGATGGAGATTCTGTCCTTCCCAGCCCCTCTCCCCATCTCAGACATTTTCCCCACAATAGAAACCCCTATTTCTTTTGCTATCTTCAGTGCTCCAACCCCCACTTTTTAGCCAGGGAGCACACAGATCCTCCTGAGCATGGCTGGTGTGCGCGCGCAGCTACTTAAAGAATCATAGAAGATAGTATGGCTGTGCAAGACATGTCCTTAGAGAGAAAGCAGAGCAGAGCCGGCATTCACTGGGCCTGATTCTTCTCAGTGCAGTTACGTAATGCCTGTAACATCCGCAGATGAAATGGCAGGTTTCACTGCAGGGATCCTGCTTCCCAGAGCAGTCTACTCCAGCTTGCCAGTGCGTCCAGTGGAGATGTGGTACTGGGATCCAGGCTGCCAGCGGTCTTCTTGCTAAGAATGGGGTACAGGGAGCAACTTCTCTTGGGATCTTCCTTACCTGCCCATGGAGGGGTGTCTCTGGCTGCAAGTGCATTTAGGTTCTCGGCTCCTTTTCCACAGCCTGCCGTCTGAAATAGCGGATGGCGGAGAGGGTACCGAAGCTGGCCAGGAACACTGCAAAAGTCCCCACATTGGCAAAGTGAATTCAGAAGCTTTTCCCAAAACCCGCGGTTAAGACTTTCTTACAGCAAACTTGTTTCCAAACCAGAGTTTCAGGACACAGGCGTCTGCAGGTTGTGCTCTCTCTGCCCCACCGCAGCCATCATTTCTGTCTGG